CCTGTCTGTCTCTCCTCTTTCTCTCCCGGCTGTCTCTCCTCGCTTTCTCTCCTCTCTCCCTCTCCTCTCTCTCTCTCTCCCCCCCCTCTCTCTCTCTCTCTCCTTTTTCCCCTTTCCTTCCATTAGTATCTTCTTTACGGTGTCTATCCTTCTCCCACCTTCTCCCTATCCTTCTCTTTTTCTTCGCCCTCTCTTCCCTTTCTTCCCTCCTATTGCTGATCTCCTACAAATAATTCTAGTTGCTTGGCTGTTAAGCTGCCGCATTGGCATCTCTGCTTTCTGAGTCACTGACCTGAAACACATACACAGTCAGAAGTCTAAGTCCACATTCCAAGTATTGAAGCCTGAGAATCATGACAACCAGGCTACAGGCATGTTTGGAACAAGTGGTCAGCAATGCAGTAACCAAGGCCATGGCCATTAATATGGACTTGCTCCCCATTTTGTGGCTTTAACAGTCTCCACTCTTCTGAGAAAGCTTTTCACAAGATTGTGGAGGGTTTCTGTGGGGATTTGCTCCCATTTGTGACGTCAGGTCCTGATGTTGGATGAGAAGACCGGGCTCACAAATGGTGTTGCAATCCATCTCAGTAGGGTTGAGGTCAGGACGCTCAAGTTCCTCCACACCACAATGGTCAAACCATGTCTTTATGGAGCTGGCTTTGTACACCTAAACCAATAATGCGTATGCAACACCTATATTACATAAGGTGTTCCTATATCCCATAGGGTTGAGATCAGGGGTCTGGTGTGGAAGAACTTAAGTGGCCTTCACCTCTGGTTAAACCATGTCTTAATTTATTGCAGGTATTTATAGAGCGCCGACAATTTACGCAGCGCTTTTACATAGCGTACATTCACATCAGTCCCTGCCCTCATGGAGCTTACAATCTAAGGTCCCTATATCCCATGCATACATACATAGAGGGCCAATTTACCTTCCAGCAGGTCTTTGGAGTGTGGGAGGAGCTGGCTTTGTACACGGGGGCTCTGTCATGGTGGAAGAGAAAAGGGTCACCATAAGGCTGGAAGAGCACAATTGTCTACAATGTCTTTGTATGGTGAAGCATTAATGGTACCCTTCACTGGAGGCACCTGAACCCAAATTATTTGCATGGTTCCACATACTTTTGGTCATCTAGGTAGATGCGATGGCCACGTGTCCACAAATCCATGTCCATGTGTGTGGCAGCATCAGATGGTTCCCAATTGACTTCCACACAAAGATTATGCAGTGATCACAAGAACAGTCACAGATTCACACTCCTTTTTTTTTTGTATTGCTAAAAAAATTCTCTTTCATTTAACGCTCTCGCCTGGCTGTGCCCTTAATAAGGGAGGAAAAGCCGGATAATTGCTCAAAGCGTGCTGGCAGTGATCTTCGATTATGAACAGAGCAAGAACACAGTTGTGCAAAATTTTGGAACCGACGATTAAGCTATTATTTCACAAAGACAATTAGCTCTTACGAACGCCTTAGTCGCACTGCCAAAAGGCAGACTCGCACATGTTTACTGTTTATCTTCTTAATGAAGCCCAGGGGTCTGCGTTCTGTGCTGCCGTGATTACGCTGGATAGATCTCGGCTACGGACAGACAGCAGAGGGCAATCTTGCCCAGCATTCGTGCACTGCGCCGCTGCTGTTGCAAACATTAACTTCTCTCTCCGCCGGTGCAAAAGAAATATCTTCTTGCCCTCAAAACGCCATTGATTCCAACTCTAATTTGGAAGGCAGCGGCTGGAAAGTTAAACCCTGATCGGTTGTTATAGACGGCTCCTGGGCTTTTAGGGAATAACCGTGTTGGAAAACTTGACTTTTTTGCAGTTCTGGTTTTATATTTATTTGACAAAAAGTCAGTTTTCCAGGAAAATCACGAGCATTTCTCTCGTTGATAAAGGGTGAGACATTTCATGGGAATTGCAATATATAGAGCCTCCTAGTTCCTCTTTTGTAGAAGTTAGTTGCTATTTCAAACCAAACAAAAAAATCGGGCTTATGGGGAAAAAAAGTGTATATATTTTCTTTAACCAAACCCTTCCCTTTACCTCAGAAGCTCCCCTGTTGATCCATTCACATTCAGGACCTGGGAGAAGGGTAGAAGCCCCATGCAAGATCTATGTCATGACCCAGAGCTTACACTAGTTGGGTAGCCAATCACCAAGCTCCAGTGCTGTCACATGGGAGAAAAGGAAGTCGGTTACAGATAGCCCCCCCACCAGAGCCATCGCTAGCTCCTTTTGCGCCCAAGGCAAGAACAGAAAATTGTGCCCCCCAACAGACGTGTGCGGTACTGTCGTGATGCAGGTGGGGGAGAACAGCAGGGATCCGAGGAGAAGCTGGAGCCTGTGCCACTCCTCTTTTCCGTGCCGAGCCGCGGCTGTGTTGGCTGCCTGGTGCCCCTGTTGCCAATGCCTGGTGGAGGAATTGAAGGGAAGGAGAGTATGTGCTGCTGGTGGATACATCGATAAATTGGACCTGTTCCTTTGACTTGCAAGGCCAAAGCACAGGTTGGCTCTAAAGAGAGTACACAAATCTTCCGAATTCCGTAAGCATGACAAAAAAAAAAAACCCACATAAGCAGAAATGACCTTCGAAGAAATCTGCAAGTAGATGAAGGCAGCTAAAGTTGTATGCAAATGTTGCCTTTTAGGCTGGGTTCACACCTAGGCGTATCGCATATGCGCGTTTGTCACGCGTTTCGTGCCATGTGTTTTTACCGCGATTTGCGGTAAAAAAACGTGCTTTTCCGAGGGCTACCTGGCTGTATCCCAATGGATACGCACGGCAAATACGCCTCAAAGATGCTCCTGTACTTCTTTGGGCATAGGGCGTTTTGCAGCGCGTTCCTACGCGCAGTAAAACGCCCAGTATGAACCAGGCCTTACTGTAAAAGTTGGGTTTGGCCCTGCTGGCCCTTTAATGGTTTGGATGCCCGCATCAGCCAATAAGGGGCAGCAAAGTCTGACCACGTTTTTTTTTTAACATGATTACTCTGTAACCCTTTTTATATTCGATTATCAGCATGTTTTTTTTAAACCAGCTGAAATTTGAAATAAGGATTTGAGAGGAGGGGGCAGAGAGAAGGAGCGAGTACCCAAATTAGGCTTACTGAGTTCAAGCAGCGCTTATAAGGCCTCATTCACACTACTAACAGCCGGCCCGTACAGATCCGTGCTACGTGCACGGCCGTATCGGGCCGCTCCCGGGAAGGAGAGGTGCTGCGTGTGATTGCACGCAGCAGCCTGTTCCCTAAAGAGCCATATGGGGCCCCTCTGGCAGTCCTGGGCAATCAGGATCACACAAATAAATCTATCAAACTTTTAAAAAATCTCCCTCCCCAACCTTTCCACTGATATGGGGAAGTAGTACCCTAGGAAGTAAAAGTACCTCATACAGGTTGCAGTTAATGACCTTTGAGAAACATGAAGGGTCACAT